GCCTTTTCTCTCCCCAAGTTGAGTGTCAGCACCCAAGTGTGTGTTCAGGACCCGACCTCAATACGTTGGGACAAAGTGGCCGTAGTCATGGGTCTCGGTTGGTCACGGGACTACCAGGTGCGGTTACCCAGTGGTCGTGTGTGGTGGAGGAACCGCCGTTTTCTCCGCCCCGTAACAACGCCTTCTGCTGACCCTGCCACCAGTGTTGAGTCCCATATCCTCCCCAGTGATCAAGCCCCTCGACGCTCAGAATGGATCCAAAAGAAAAGGTCCACTCAAGACTTTGCTATGAGCGTATAGGGGGGAGGAGGTGTATGTATATTATGTATGTTGTATGTATACTATGTATGTACTCCATTTATATACATTACTTATCTAGTCAGTGGCGTGTGGCAATGCCCTTTATCATGTCCCACATGCTTAGATAATGTACCTGGCGACATCTGGAAGCTGCTAATGTATCACTTGCCACATGTCGCCTGAGAGGTCAGAGAGAGGTCAGTTGACCCATAGTGAGTGTAGGGACTACTGGCGCTGGGATTGCGCACCTCTGTACTTCCGTCAAATAGAACCTACAATACTCTACAGGTGTTTGTGTTCGCCTCTGTAGTTAGAACTGAGTACCCAGAACCCCTACAGAAAGGGTAGATAATTACGAAAAACAATGGAAAATCCAAACCCGAAATTCACAGTGATACCCTAATGCAGAAGGAAAACCCATCCATTAGTAACCAATAATGCCCAGATAGAACCCAAAAGCAGAGGGACCCTCCTGAGCCTGCATATATCCATGACAGGTTACTCCTATCATGTCCACGCCAGGAAGGAAAAAGCAAAAAGAGAGCTGAGAAAACTATACCGCTTTAAAGCGCTTCCTCAGAAAATAAAACTCCACCTAGTGACATCATTTATCACACCGATATTAACTTACCCAGCAATACCTCTTCATATTATGAGCACCATTCAAATATTAAAATTACAGGTGGTTCAAAATGAAGCCCTAAAATTCGTCACAGGCGAAAGATACCCCTTCACCAGAACCACAGCCGAGATACATAGAGACCTGAGAATGAAACCCATCAACCAGCAGCTGCACACCCTGGTCAGCAGAATCTGGCAAAAGATAGAACGATCACAGCAAGAACTACCCCCGATCTACACGGCCAGGCAATAGACAACCTCCCTAGACCAACATCCACCAGTAGGGTCGGCGGAATATAAAATAAGGCCCTTAAAACACCCATGTATGGGATAGAGTAGGATGTCTAGTGCCTGTACTGACAGATAATAACTAACCCATGACACAACCCTAACACTATTAGCTTAGCTAGGCGGTCAGCCCGCCCACTCTTACCTCCTCCTAAACTTCTTCAATTTCCGAACTATAACTTCCTTCCCCCACCTCTAATCTTCTTTCACCCCTCCTTTCTCTACAAAAAAAAAAAAAAAAAAAAGGCCAAGGACACCGAGGGGCCGGGTCCCCTAATGCGCTCCCCCGCTGGCGTGCCGGCACCTGGGGCCCATCCACTCCAGTTCTCCACATCAATTGACCACCATGCGGACATGCCAGTGGACTACGTATCTACGCCAAGAAGGACGTCCCCTACCAACCTCTCGACGTCCCCCTTGAAGCCGACACTACCGACGTACACGCCATCACAATCACACTAAAAGGTATGTCCCTCAATATTGTCAATGCCTATGGCTATGGCCTGGCACTTGACATTATTAGGGACCTGCCACGCTTTGCCATAAATAGATAAATTGTACCGGGATATTTCCCCCCACACACTCATCATTCTGTCACTTTATGTAACTTGCTGACAAAACCCATGACCCTTCAGGCTTTTACGCCTTAATGCATGATCATAAAAGGCAAGCATGAACTATGCTTGCTTCCCAGATGGGCACTGTAAACGCTTCTGCGCTTCACCTTGCACAGGATGTAAGGGGGTGCCCAATAAACTAGCCCCCTCCGGGGCAATCTAATCTGACTCTGACCTATATATACTGTCAATAAATACGGTGTATTTCTTTGTGTATGAACCTCTGTCCTGCGTGGCAGTGAACGGTGTATGTGTGTATATATATATATATATATATATATATATATATATATATATATATATATATATATATATATATATATATATATATATATATATTTATTTATTTATATATATATATATATATATATATATATATATATATATATATATATATATATATATATATATATATATATGCAAGTAAATCACTGTAGGTGCGCATGATCTAGGTATCTAGGTTATCAGCATATATATATGTAATATTCAGAAATTTCAGAGTAATTTCAAACACCGCGCCATTGGCGATACTAAGCATTCAAGGTCGTCGGAAGGAAGAGAGCGCTCCCTGCACATAGCGAGAGGTTGTGGAACTAGGCCTAAGTGATATTAAATGTGATTTGCCGAATTAATAATGATGCGATTCATGAAGTTAAGGGACTATTATTGAATTTGAAATTATTATCGATCGTTTATCAGTCTGAATAATGTTACGGGTGTCCCAAGGAGTTATTAGTTAGGCGGAAAATATGTCACGTAGGCCTAAGCTAGCGCCTAGGAGAGACGCGACGCTGGCTGGTCCTCAGTCACGGGGAAGCATTCAGACAAACAAGACGTCCCTGCGCGTCCGTCACAAAAATAGTCACGTGGCCTAGTCACCTGTGTTGCACTATTGCAGTATAACAAGTAAGTCTCATTCGATCTCAGACAGGGTTAGATAGGGCAGTGGTAAAGTTAACAAGAGCTAACAGTGAGTTCATTTCAGGGTTTCCGTCAGAACCCACTGACCGGAGTTTGACTGGAGAAGTTGACTGCGAGAGATTGACTGCCGTTTGAGACTGCCGTTGATGATTGAGGGTGGGGATTGTCGCCATTGGACCGATCAGTGTAGGCCTGTCACTGTTTAGCGGGGTATCAAAGGATCTCTTGAGAGAATCTAGCCGTCTGGGTGCCCAGCTGACGACGGGACGATCGTTGGGGTCATCAGCTCTCCTCTACCTCGGCTCACAATACCACATGTTCCAAGCAGCTTAGTGAAACCCTCTTGCTAATGGGAAGCTAAAGCTTCTCTCAACTGTACAAGGTCTGATTGGCTCACTCCTTTCCGCTTTATGGATGTACCCGGGGGTAAAGTGAAGCTAGCTGAGTGGTACAGGGTCGCACACTGCGGCCAAGAGTCAGTGGAGTTTAGAGGTACACTTTCCAAGGTGGAGAAAGGCTGATTTGGGCCTTCAACTAAGGGTGCCTGTTGGTTGTGCCTTAAACGACTACGGAGTGCAGGTGGAATCTGTGTGTGTGTTAGGTTAGGAAGCATGGTTCACGGGTGTTGGTGGACCCAGTAACATATCAATAATAGTGACAATATATTTGGGTGTAGTTAATACCATTTCTCAGTTACTGATATTATCTTGACGTGTGTAGTTTAATATTTCTTAAATAATTTTGATAGTATAGTTTTTTTAATGTTTCAGCATCTAATTTTTCTTCATAATTCCGATCTCAGGTATAACCTTTGTTCCCCAGAGTAGTGGTTAAGTTAGGTTAGGAAGTGTGCATCTGTTGGGGTGATATAATTTTGTTGACTGCCCTTAAGGCCTATTCATTGTAGAGTATTTAATTTCTTTTTTTTGATACCATTTCCTCACTGACTGATATAATTTTGTTGAAAACCCTTAAGGCCTGCATCTGTTGGTGTAACATAATTATATTGAGTGCCCTTTAGGCCTATTCATGGTGGAATAAATAATTTCTTATATTTATACCACTTCCGCAGTGGTGGATATTATTCTGTGAAAGCCCTTAAGGCCTGTTTCATGTGTGCAAGCAACATTTCTTAATACCTCAAATTTATTGTTGCCTGAGTTTCTAATAATTTCTATATCATGTATAACTTTTATTCCCCACAGTAGTGTTTTAAGTTCAAGTTAAGAGGTGGGCATATTGGTGTACCATTATTTGATTGTGTTTGTAGTGTTGGAGGGAATATAAGTGTCTAAATTTTACAGTGTGTCTCATTCATCCCAGTCACAGACGCTATCCTTCCACGGGTCACGGACAAGTCATTTTGTTTAGTAGATTTAAGTGTTCTTGTGCTGGTTCGGGATTTTTCTCACTAAGGGGCGCTTCCACTGCCATTACCATCTAATAATCTTTAATAAACCCCAAGTCAAGTGAGAAAATAAAGTCCAGTAAATTCCGACCAGTTACATATACTGTATATATATATAAATATATACATATATATGTATATATATATATATATATATATATATATATATATATATATATATATATATATATATATATATATATATATATATATATATATAAATATACATATATATAAATAAATATATATAAATAAATAAATATATATAAATAAATAAATATATATAAATAAATAAATATATATAAATAAATATATATAAATAAATATATATAAATAAATAAATATAAATAAACATAAATAAATATATATAAATAAATATATATAAATAAATAAATATAAATAAATACATATATATATATATATATATATATATATATATATATATATATATATATATATATATATATATATATATATATATATATATATATATATATATATATATATATATATATATATAACTATATATTTTCCATTTTTAGTCCACATAACACGCGATCGAACACGACTACTCAGCCAGGACTTGAACCTGTTCCACGAGTGAGATATTCTACCCCATACCACAAGTGCTCTTGTGGTATGGTCGGTAGCATTCCCTGGTCCCATGCATTAGGTCCAGGGTTCGAGTCCTGGCTGGTGAGGTCGTTGATTATATATATATATATATATATATATATATATATATATATATATATATATATATATATATATATATATATATATATATATATATACTAATAATACTATTAGTTAGAATATGATTAAATTAACTGTAGTATAACTAATGGTAATAAGAAGTAAAAATTGACTTTCTTCCTTATACCTAAATGGCCATTTTCCTGCACTTCTAATATCCATGTAAAATTTATTAATAAGTATCACCAATGTCTTGGAACATCCAAGAAACAATGTGTGTATTGATAAATTCTGGCATTTTGGTAAACATAGCCCGAGAGGCTTTGTTGTCAAGTTCTACATTGGCAAGAGGGAAGTAGCCCTGGTTTGCCTGTAACCTCGCAGCTGCCCTGGTCACGAGAGTTCCGAGGCCTTGCTTTTTGTAGCTTTCCTCCGTTCTCAGCATGCCCAAGGCTCCGTTCTTAGCTGACGCAATCAAGGAGATGGGTATATCCTCGTCTCCAGCTGGCAATATATTCTCCAGGGCTACCAGAGTGTCCTCCTTGGTACTATTGTCCAAGAACACGCCTACTGATGGCACTTTTTGGTTAAATCTCAACATTGGTTCCAGAGGAAAATTCTTGTCGAACTTACTCTCCTCCAGGAGTCGTCGGACGCCAGCTTTACCAAGCTTGCAGAGACGGAGCCCCGAGGGACACCTGAGGTAAGGGAGGTGAAGGTTTATGGTCTCACAAACATAATCTAAAATAAATAAGTACAATACACAATGGATTCCTGTCTTGCTAATGTCGATCTAGCTAGGGTCTATGTAAGCTCTCTGTGACCAGAATGTCTTTCTCCCTCTTACAGTTCCTACTGTATAATGAGGGTGATCTGTTAATTTCTCAATGCATGGTAATAAGCTAGTTGAATGAGCATGGTCTGATATGCTATTAAAAGAATGAAAATGGAAATTGGATACAATGGTAAAATAATTTATTATATTTGTAGGAAACAATAATAAGAGGATATACAAGAAAAAGAAAGCTGAGGACGCATTTTCCTTTCCAATGCGTCCTTAGTTTATTGTCACAAATATTTTAGGGGAGCTGCAGAGATTTTCAACATACAGTAGATGAAAGAGAAGCTAAAGTTGTTAATAGTGTTATACCGGGAAGAAAACAAGGGGCCCTCTGATAATTTTCTTGTGAACTACTACATTGCTGTCAGTCGGAATCTAGTATGGCGATCATCCAGCTATGATACAATAGTGTGAGTTATTAAGGATGTCACCAACGTTGGTGACTAAAGAGGCCGATACGGGACCGGTAGGATCGTTACCAGATGTTGTACATGTGAGGGAGGAGCGGCGTCAGCGTCTTTCCGGCGTTGGCGCTTGTCTGCCTCGTTATGCAGTCGAGGTAAGTCGAAAGTATTGACACCTTCTTGTGTGTTTATTGTGAGTATAACGAGTGTTAGTAGCCTATATGAAGGAATGCTTGAACTAATTGTTGTGGTTGGATTAGAATCTCTGGTGTTTTAGAGTAATGATAGATTAAGAAAAAAAATACATATCAATTATGGGAGTTTGGAGACTTAATAAAAGTAGAGGGTTATGAATGTATAATGTTGGAAAGTCTCTGAAGAATGTGAAGGGAGTAAGCACAGTGAGATGGTACAGGCAGGAAGATTGCATGGCAGTTGAGAGACTGGAAGCAAAAGGTAATGAAATAAAAGTAAAAGAACAAAAGTGAGAGAAAGATCATAAAAATGATGACCAGACTATATTGCGAGAGAGTGAAATCTAGAAGAGTTACATTGAATAATGTTAAAAGCATGATTACCAATCATGTACAATAATTCATTTTGTACGTGATAAAATCACCATGATTGAACCTGACAAATCAATTCAGCATTTACATATAACTGAAGATGATTATTTCATCCTTAGAATTTACTCACAGACCAGGAAAAGAAGGAGCGAGTTTCTTGAATTTTCAGAAAATACGCCTCGGAGAAATCCGAGCCAATTTCAATTCCGGGCCTTGGAGAGTTTCAGCTAACGGAGATGGACTTAAGTTAAGTTTCCAAGATCCCAGCCTCTAGTGCACTTAAATTGCTTTGTACAGTACATATGGTCTTAGCTAAGGCAGATGACTTAAGTGCGCTAGCAAAAGGTTAATTGCACCAGCAGAGACTTAAGATATTGTAAATAGATTCTTTTAATGTATTCATTTACATGCAAGTTCTGTTTTTCTTTTGTTGTCATTGACAGGTATGTAATATTGAGCTTATTTTTACATTGTGTTTTTTTTTCAATTTTTTTGATTTTGTAAACTCTTTCTTGGTTCATTTCTAAGTACTGAGTTTTAAATATGTTTTGTTATTTTGTCATGTAAAATTTAATTTCATATATAACCATCAGTTTAGAATAAATATATAGATATACAAAGGAATAATCATTTAACCATATCCTGTTTCATATTCAGATGCTTCATTATATATTTGATGAATATAGAAATAGCTCATCTTACAAAAATAATTTGACTACAGTATTTATATACATAAATATAATTTGACTTCAATACAAGGATACAATGAAAATTTGATTCATGTTTGGTTTGGTGAAGATGTCAAACTAGCATTTACAGATCTTAGGTAATGTAAGAAAAGCCTAACATAACTATGAGAAAATTTAGTAATTCTCAGCAACATTGAAATGAGCTACCCACACACTATGAGTGGCTGGTTTGATCCTGTAATGTAAGACAGGCAATATTAAGCTGTGGGTGGAATGATGAATCACTGCTGACAACTCCCTTAACCTAATCTAAGGAAAATATAAGGATTGTTTCTTTGGTGCTTCTTCAGAATTCATATGCCACTTACATTAGTGGCAAAATGGATATGTTTTCCTAAAAGTTTATGTGAAAATCCCTGCAATCTGGTATTTCCCACTGACAATGAGTTAATCCTAATACTGGCAGAAACAAGTACTGTACTGTACTCTCATAACATATGCCTTAATTGATATTTTTATTATATTTTTTTTATATTTAAAATTTTACAATTTACATACAGTATGTACATGGATATTATGTATTAATATATTTGTCTGTGAAATATGTGGATTATTTTTGTTTTAAAATAGTGTACTCGTGATCACCCATATATTATAACATTTCCTGTTTTTAATAAAGGCTATAATCTACCATGAGCATGATCATTGTATTCTTATCCTTATTATTACTACAGTTAATATTAAACATTAAAAGCCGCATTAATAATTTGCTATTAACATTGCATACCGTATTCAGGATATTTTTTAACCATTCAATTATCTCTTTGTTATGGAAGCAGATGTAAAATAAATGTTCAGTAATGGATATTGTACCTCATCACATCTTATACAACTATCATCTTGATTTATGTTTAACATGTTTAGTCTCTGATTAGTTGGTAGAATTTCATGAATATACCTACAGGGTATATGAGTTCCATGACATTTGCTCACAAGACGAACCTAACCTAACGTAACATTTGACTTCCTTTCCATTAATGTTGCGAGTATTTGCATTGTGAGCATTTGTCTTGTGAGTATGTGAATGAATTACCACCATATCTCACCTCCTCTTTCACCTAACCTCTTTCCTTGCTCTTTCCCCTCCCTCTCTCACTAATACTACCACTGCTATTATATTCTCCCTGTCATCTTTCACTCATCTTTTCCTCCCTAGTGAAACCTTTCACTCTCTCAACGCAGATTTCCGCATAAAGTAATACGATGAAAATATGTTCCCTGTGTTTTCGATCACATTTTATCAAAACACATTTATCAAATATCTACTGTGTGTGTGGGGGGGTGGGGGGGGGGGCAAAGCTGTAGCCAACCTTGAGAGCATGTCGCGTCTAGCATATTAATAATATTGAACCTTGTGGACCATGGTCATAAGGTCAGAATTGTCCAGCAGTTAGTTTGGGGTTTCCCCCTTCTAATGTGTCTGGTTCCTATGGAGGACAGTTGGATATTTAACACATGCCAATGTAATATTTATATTCCATACATACAAGACTCATTTCCATTTATGCATTATTACATGAGTTCAAAAGGAAAAAAATGGGCTGCTTAGCCTCATGCACTTTTTGACAACTTGGTGGGTGGGTGGGTGGGTATTAGGGTGTGTCATAGGAGGGAAGATCAGCTAAAACTAATGGCCCATCACTTTTTTGGTAGATTTTAGTGTATATAAACAGAAAATAATTTCAGTTTCAATATTTTGCAACCTTTTGCTAGGTAAATTTTAGCGTGAAATTTATCGAAAATCTAACGTACAGCTGCATTAGTGCATTACAATTAAATAGTGAACATTGCTTTCTGACCTATTACAGTTATATGTAATCTGGGACGAACATGTCATAGCTGAAAATTGTCAAAGAAATATGTAAAGCAGTGGAAAACCATATATTTTGATTATCGGCGAGGCTAACTACCTATAAACAAGTAATATTTTACGATTGGCAAAAGTCCTGGGAAAATGAACCAACAAGTCAAAAGCTAAAAATGATCAAATTATCAGTTTATCGTTGGTCACCATCAAAACAATCCTCTCGACATCACGAAACTATTCTGAATCGTCTAAGAATTGGGCATACGCGATTGACTCATGGGCAACTCATGTCTTCCCTAATGGAGCCCCACCTATATGCTCCAACTGCCGAACACAAATAACAGTCCAACATATTCTCATTGAATGCCCTATTTATAATTGGTATCGAACAATGTGCTTCACTAACCCTACAATGTAAGATATTTTAGCAGAGACCCCAAATTTTCCTTAAGTTCAGTTTTGACCTTTTTGAAATACCGTAATCTCCTCCGAACAATATAACACTAAATTATAGAAACACACATATATGTTAACTAATCCCTCTGGCCAGCTCTAGAAAAGACTGAAATGGGTGTCAGTGGTCTGGTTAAACTAAATATTGATTATGATGATGATGATGATTATCGGGGAATGTTCACTCTACAGTCGCAGGGGTGGTGGTGGAGGTTTGGGGGGGGGGGGAAGATCCACTTGCAGTTCACTATGAATACATGAAATAGGAAGGGTTTCTTGGGCAGTTGATCCAAAAAGATTTACCAAAACGTTATGCCAGAGTAATAATACTTAACCTAGGTGCTACTAATACCATTAATTTCCTCTAGTATATGAAAGCCTGCATCAGTTACAACAACATAATATTACTCTGCCATTTCAGATATGCCTGCAGGACGAGCAAATTCGTCGGCAGTGATTGCTGAGCGAGGCCGAATCATTAGGATGTGAAGAGCCGGGGCAACTGCGCCGAACAATGCTGTCGAAGTGGGAAGCAGCACCAAGACGATTAGGAGGTGGATCCGCCGGTGGGAGGAAGAGGGCTCAGTGGAGACGAAACCTCGAAGCGGGAGGCCACGAGTAACGACGGCAAGGATGGACGCCATGATCGTGGCAGTTGCAACGGTATATCCAATGCAAACATTAGTGGAGTATACAAGAAATCTGGGCCTCAACTGCCATCACATGACGACGAGACGCCGACTTCATGACGCCGGGATCGACTACCATATTCCAGCTTACAAAGGGTGGCTAACACCTACTCACAAGGAGTATCGACTCGGCTTTGCATTGGAACACCTTCCACATAGAGAAGAATACTGGAGAACCATTATATTTAC